ATAACTGCACAGAGCACTGAGATCCGGGACTGGGGGCTATAAACAAACTTTATGGGACAGTGGGAAACGTGGACACACCCATGAAAAGTGGACATCTGGCTCACTAAAATCATGCCATACCACGGATGTTGCCGGACCAGAGAGTGCCAGACTAGAGAGGTTCAACCTTTAGAGTGAAAAGGGGCCAGCCTGGCTGGGTAGTTAGATGGGCACAACAGTTCCCACAGCTCCCAGACTGCATCCTGGATGTGACAATCCATCACACCCAGACCCTGTGGATTCTAAAATAAGTCACCAGGCACCTGCTAGGTCACAGAAAAGATCCAGATGTAACCATTCTTGGATTCCTTCCATTAGGTTCTAATCCAAGAAGGGCACAGCTACCAAAATACCACCATGCTGAAATTCGGATTAGGGAATGTCCATGTTGGTTCCATCAAAAAATGGGGGATACCTTGTGAGATGAACGGACATGTAGTTTGAGTTGCTAGATACAGAAGCACTGCAGACCTTCCATAGGGATACTGGGAAATACCTTCAATGTCAGAATCCTGGAAGAAGAAAACCTTTCCCTCACCTTTTGGCTTTCAACCTTTCAGGTTCACCTGAATTAGTCTCCACAGAGTGGCAGGTGAGGTTAGAGGTTAAAGGTATGGGTATTACAATGGCGTGGGCTGTAGGCAGTCATACACTGCTCTGATGAATGAACATGGAGCGACAAGAATGATTAAAGGTCTAGAGAACATGACCTATGAAGCCAGGCTTCATGAACTGGGCTTGTTTAGTTTGGAAAAAAGAAGATTAAGGGGGGACATGATAGCGGTTTTCAAATATCTAAAAGGGTGTCACAAGGAGGAAGGAGAAAATTTGTTCCTCTTGGTTTCTGAGGACAGGACAAGGAGTAATGGGCTTAAAGTGCAGCAGGGGAGGTTTAGATTGGACATTAGGAAAAAATTCCTAACTGTCAGGGTGGTCAAATATTGGAATAAATTGCCAAGGGAGGTGGTGGAATCTCCCTCTCTGGAGATATTTAAGAACAGGTTAGATAGACATCTGTCAGGGATGGTGTAGACGGAGCTTGATCCTGCCTTGAGGGTGGGGGGCTGGACTCGATGACCTCTCGAGGTCCCTTCCAGTCCTATTATTCTATGATTCTATGGTTTGGGTCCTCTATCCCATGGTTCCATTGTCAGACATAGTGCCGATGGCAGTGCATTACATTCAGAAAGAAAGCCATCATCAACTGTTAGGCTGGATAGTGTTCAAGACTCAGTTTGGCCTGACTATCTGCATTTCTGTTATTTGCGAATCATTTCTTTGCTCTGGGGGTAGGCTCTCACGCTGAAGTTCTCCAGGGTCTATTTTCTATTCTTGCCTCCGCTCACAAACAGAAGGGAATTGGCGATGAATCCTACCCAATCTGAGAGTCCACAGGGACACGACAGGGAAGTCATAAATATCCTCATCCAGCACACTGAATTTCAGACATGTAAGATCCAAAGGCTGATTGTCACGGCTCTGCCTTCCACTTGAAGGAAGGAGATTTCCTCTCTCTGCTGAGCAGGAGTTTGGGTGAGTTGTTTTGGTTTTGCATTTCAATTAGTGCTTAAGTGCTTAGGAAGAGTCTCAGGGTTCGTCTCAAGCCAGGAAATCAGCAGCAGGGTGAAATGAACACCGTGGGATTTGCCTGGTAAAACTGGAACTAATATGTACTAGAAAGAGTTTAGACCAATGTTAGTTTTTAAGATCAGTCTCTCATGTCTTAATGTGTCCTTCTATATGTTTCAATCGTTTCCTTTCTTTGGGCTGTTTGGTTTTTCCTCTGGTTCACTCCAATTTTCCAGCTCAGCAGCTTCACCACCCTGTGAGGGAGTACAGAGTCTTTTTGGTGCATATCTGTGTTAGCAGAGAGTTCACAACTAGAGTGGGCTAATTCTGCTCTGACATTCTGCCTTCAATGGGTCACTCTAGATTGACACAGGCTTCTCTGAAGTCAAAATCAGGACCCGCATGTTTTGAAATCCCCATTTTTCATGCCTGGTCTCACGACACATCAACCGCGGGGTTGCTGTGGACTCTTTCACCATCCTAAGAGAATAGCATCCTCTGTAGCCAGGACCTGGAGCTGTGATTTTCAGTTTGGAGCCAAATGAGATCTGATCCAAATGAGATCAACAGCAAAACTACAAAACTGAGACGGGGAGAATGCACTCTCCATCTCCATTGTCATGGCTCCTTCCCCACTCTGGCATGATAAATGCAGAAGTGGGGGCCAGCAAGTGTACCCCAAAGCCTTATCTACCAGGCTTTGGCCTAAAACTTCCCCCAAGATCTTAAAACCCTAGATCTTGGGAATAAAACTTCCGCTGCCACCACCCAAATGTTGCTAAAGAAACCAGGGGAAAGATCATTTGGGAAATCTCACCCCTCAAATAAAAATCAGGACACACTATTAACCACTGCCAGGTTAATAAAAGAAAAGAAAGAACTTTTTATTATTACAACAATATTCCTGTTGCAACATAATGACTAGATAGGGAGGTAACAAAATATACTCATGGAGAAACTCCATGGGCCTAGAACTTAGTTACAAAGAAAAGCCAAAACATCTTTTAAGCAATGCCAGATCTCAGATCCCATACCCAATCCTTAAAACAATAAAACCTAACGAGACTACCTAAACTTTACCCTACTTACAGAAAATGAAGAATGGTGTCTTGGAGAGAGAGAGACATGCTTGTCCCTCTCTGTAGCTGCAGAGACCTCTCTCAGGCTATGTCTAGACTGCAGGCTTCTTTCGAAAGAGGCTCTTTCGAAAGCATCTTTCGAAAGATCCTCTTTCAAAAGATTGCGTCTAGACTGCAGGTGGATCTTTCAAAAGAGAAATCCGCTTTTTCGAAAGAGAGCACCCAGCGAGTCTGGATGCTCTCTTTCGAAGACGGCCTCTTTACATTGAAGAACGCCTTCTTTCGAAAGAGGAACTTTCGAAAGAAGGCGTTCTTCCTCGTAAATTGAGGTTTACTGCCATCGAAAGAAAAGCCACGTTCTTTCGAAATAATTTTGAAAGAACGCGGCTTGAGTCTGGACGCAGGGGAAGTTTTTTCGGGAAAAGGCTACTTTTCCCGAAAAAACCCCTGAGTCTGGACACGGCCTTTGAGAGACAAAAGGGAGAAAAAAAAGAAAAAACCCAAATTCCTTTGTCCCAGTTTGAAAAGTCCCACCTACATTCCTATTGGTCACTCCACCTGGCTAGGTATAGTTAACCCCTTAATCCCCAGGCTGCTGGCTAACCCTCATAATCATGACATCCATCTCCATCTCAGTCTGTATTGAATAGATTTTCCTCATGTGCCCTCTTATTCATCTGCTTTGAAAGGTAACACTCAGTCTTTTCAACCTCTCTGAATATGAGAGGTTCTCCAGCCACTTCATAATTCTCATTTCCCTTGGCTCAACTGCATTAGTTCTGCTATCAATCACAGGCATGCTGCAGGTACGCACAGTGTAGACTTCCGAGGGAGGTGAAACACTTAATGAGTGATCTCATAGCATTGTATTTTCCATATAATGTCCCCTCCCGCTCCTCCAGGATTCCAATGTTTTTCTTTGGGTACGTCTAGACTACCGCGTTTTGTCGACAGAAGTTTTGTCGACAGATACTGTCGACAAAACTTCCGTCGACAATTTGCGTCCAGACACATGGAGTTCTGTCGACAAAGCAAGCCGCTTTGTCGACAGAACTCTGTAGTCTGGACGCAGTGTTACAGGCAATAACACCTTCTGTCGACAGAGTTCTGTCGATAGAAAGTGTTTTGCCTCGTAAAATGAGGTATACCAGCGTCGACAAAACCGCGGAGTTCTGTCGACGTTATGTCAACAGAACTCCGCGGTAGTGTAGACGCTGGTATTGTTTTGTCGACAAAAGTCCACTTTTGTCGACAAAACTAGGTAGTCTAGACACACCCTTTGTTTCTATCTGTGCTCGCACTGGGTATGTCTACACAGCAGGGCAAATGTTGAGTTAAGATACACAACTTAGGCTACATCAATTGCATAGCTGGAGTTGAAATAGCTTACGTTGGCTTTTGGTGCTCTACACAGCAGGAAGTCGAAGGAAGAACATTCTTCCTTCGACTTCCCTTACTCCTCATGAAATGAGGGTTTCAGAAGTCAGAGTAAGAAGTCTTGAAATAATGGCTTGCTGTGTAGATGCTCATGTTAGTTATTGCGAAATAATGCTGCAGTGTAGATGTAGCCACTGTGAGCAGGGTTTCACAGAGCTGTATCATGACACTCAGGTTCCTGTTCTGAGTTCATTCAATTCAATTAGAACCTTGTTAGGAGTTTGAGGAGTTCAAATTTTTTCCCTCTTATATGAGGACACTTTTTCAGTTTCGGACCTCAAAGTTCATCTGCCATCATGCCGCCCATAAGCATGGCTTGGGACAATCCCTCTGAGGACTTTTCTGGACTTGATTATGACCTTAGATAGTCAGGTGCCATCAGCAAATGTTACAACCTCACTGCTCATCCCCCTTTCTAGATTATGGATAATTATAAAATAGTTCCATACTATTTGTTATAAAGCAAATAATCGTTCTTGCTGTATTTCTCTCACTTCACAGGTACATAGAGTATTTTTCTAAGTCCATTCAACAAATTAACGACTTAATGGAAAGTTTCAACCTCACCCTTTCTGACCCTTCCACATT